GCTGTAATCGCAGCAAAAGGTGGCGCTACAAAGTATTAACTTAAGGGGGCTGAATAATTTTGCACGCCCAATTTTTCTGTTTTTTATTTGTTAAAAACGTTTGAAATATCCAATAAATTTCGTTCTACTTCATGATTGTGTCCCACTTGTTGTTGATTCTTCCCAAAAAATTACAGTTTTATATCTTTATGTTTGAAGCCTGAAATGTGGCAAAAGGTCGCAAAGTTCAAGGGGGCCGAATACTTTCGCAAGGCACTGTATATATATACACACACATGTTATTTGCCTAAAGGTGTTTCACAGGAACTTAACAAGCCGTAACCTGGAGCTTCCCATACCTGTATGTCTGCAGAACATTGAAGGGCTGATGTGTTCTGTTAGCTTTGCTTTTCCCACTGTACCTTCCCTGTGTTGGTCACTGTTCACACACAAAGGAGCATAGAGTGCAGTACTCCTTAATCATGCCTGCAACAAAATCTGCCAATAATGGAGACCCATATGAGCATCTTACCAAACAGCAGTTGAACAACCAGAAGACAGTTTTTGCTGATTTGCCCACAGTCAACTTGCTGAAGTCCCTGTTCTAAACTAGCGTGAGTGTATGTAAACTAGTGAGTATAATACATGAGACGTGACGATGCTACTGTTTACCCAGTCATGGGTGACAGCCTTGCGAGCACCCACCCACTTCCTGGAACTTGAGTTGGTCCTGAGTGGTGCCAAAATTTATCTCTGGGAACTTGTCTCCAAAGCAGGCTGAGGGCAGTGGAAACAAAACAGTACCTGGGACAGTGGGTTCACATTCCATTAGGGTTTGGTAGGTCCCTTTAGTGGAAAAGGCCTGTAAAAAATGCTTTTCTGGTCTGAGCCTTAGGTTGTGCTACAGATTTCTGCTTGAAACATTTCTACTTGAATGGGTTGGGTAACTGGTCAAGATTGGTGAGGACGTATAGACAGTGCTGAACTGTAAAGGCTCGAGAACTCCACAAATCTTCTTTTGTATACAGCTTTTTTTTTTAGATTGTTTAAGAAAAGCCCAGATGTTGCTTAATGCTCATCTGCTCACTCAGTTAAGATGCATGCTTAACTGTTGGGGGGTGACAGTGGTGTGGTGTGGTGGGTAGAGCAGCCGTCTCCCAATCGGAAGGTTGAAGGTTCGAGTCTCGGTGCCTGCAGTCCACATGTCGAAGTGTCCTTGGGCAAGACTGAGCCCCCAAGTTGCCCATGATGGCGGCGCGTATGCACACAGTGGCCCGGGGCCCTCGGCTCCAAGCAGAATTTTGTTGTATGTGTCACAATGTTACAATGACAATAAAATAAAGCTGCTTCTTTTGAATCTTTCTGTTTCTTTGGATCCACCTTTTGAACCTCTTCTCTAGCAACAATAGGTTTGTGCTGACTGTGTCATTGGCGCCTGATGAGACGTGGCCTCACTTCTCTCTCTGCTGAGGTATTTCACAGAGGCCCTGCAGTGGCAACCTGAGCAGATATAATTAGGAAAGGTGCAGTCGATACCAGGGAGTGTACTGGTTATTGACCAGTGGTGTGTGTGTGTGTGCGCTTTTTTTGTGTACGTTTACACTACTGTGTGAGTGAGCTACGGGTTAAGAAACTGAAGGGGAGAGGCCTCTCTCCTTCTGTAGCTGTTCTTTGGAAGGTAAACCCCACAGCTCTGAAGACATTAGCTCATCTCAGATTGCTTCAGCTACAGGGAAGAAAAACTCAGTCAATTAGGAGTGTGTGACCGAAGCAAATGGCACATTAGTGAATTAGGGCTGCGGTTTGAGCAGGAAATCGGCCCAGCGAGCTCCTGCTGTGCAGCAGCACTTTGGAACCACTGACTCAGTGAATCCCACTAATACTTATCTGATCCACTAGATTCTGGATCAGCAGGGCTTAGAAGCCTCAGTAAGAACTCCATTAATGCCCCTTTCATACTGGGACCCACAAATGATGCAGGTCTGCTGGAAGATGTTGGTATGGTCTTTCATTCTCTTTTCAGATGAGTCTTTAAAGGAAATTTAAACAACAATTACATGAAATTTACTTCAAATCTGAATGAGAGCCATGAAGTCTGGTAGCATAATAATGCATGTTAACCCTATAAAACCATTTATATCATATTTGATACGTGAGGTTTCTGAGCAAAAAAAAAATTACCAAAAATGCCCCATGTATCAAATGTGATACAAAAGAAATAATCTAAATAATATGGCACCTCTAGTCCTATATGCCTGGACTGTCTGTCTATGCATATATGGCAAATAAAAATCATGGATCTTGAATTTCCAATCATGAATTTTATTTTGGATTTTGTTAAAAGGTTTAATAAACATCTCAGTTGCAAAAAATTAGAATGTTCTGGCTATTTTTTGATATGTTGGGCTTTACAGGGATAACTAATTCATATAGACAGTAAATAGTAGCTATAGCTTGCTTCACCGAGTTAGCCCAAAGGTACATCCAAAGTCTCTGGTATGATCAGCCTCAGTCGACCCAGAAGTCATTCTGGTTGACTGAGGCTGTTTCTAGTCTCATATCAGCTCTGAGGATTGAGGATTGAGGAGGCTGCTGGAGGAGCCATGAGTGACCATACTTTGCAGAAGACTTTTATGAACCAGTGCACCCCTCTATTGGAAATTGGTGATTGGATGCTTCAGATGAAGGAATAGGAGAAAAGAAGTCGTTAATAACGTGTTTCCTTGAGTCCTCTTTCCTCACACGTTTTCCATTTATTTTTTTCCTCACATCTTGGGTGGGACTAAGACACTAGGAAAAGATGCAAGTGAGGGAGACTATGGTGCTTATAAGATACTTTGATAGTACCCCAAGAGATTCAGTGGATTCCTCACGTGCTCCTCTGGTGGCCAGCTGTGCCAAGAAGGACAAAATAAATGTCTAACAGGATTTTCACCTTCATGTTGAAGGTTGTTGTCTGCACTTTGACTACTGTTGTTTGAGTTGGGACAAATCTAAAAAATATTACCAGTTTACTTACATTGTGCAGAACAGTGAGTAATAGTTTGAAATGCTGCTGTTCTGTTTTTCCATCTTAGAGTGCAGCAGCAGCCCCCAGCCCTGTGATGGGAGGTATGCCCCCCGGTGAAGGCATGCCAGGAGGACCCATGCCACCTGGCTTTTTCCAGGTCAGTCCATCACTACACTGATACCATCTGTGATTATACTGTCATACAATGACTGCTTTCACTCGATAAATTATGTCAACAAGCTCTGGGAAATGTCAGGATTTGTGTATATTCTGGAGCTATAGGCCTCCTCTACTGCTTTGTGTTTTGCTCCACTCTGCTCAGTGAACTTGTAGTAAACATCATAGACATTCTGTCTGCCTGGGCCCTGCCAGTGCTGTAAACAGGCAGGCGTGGCCCGGCCATTTTTCCTAATGGCCAAATCGAAAGGTGCAGCACCTATTGTAAATCAATATCTTACGAGGATAAACTCTTGACAGGCAAGTGTGTGGAACAGCCTCCAAGAGGTGACAGAAAATTGCAGAGCTGCTCTGCCTCCACTAGACCAAATCATCAGTTTATTATGATCTAGAAGCCACAAAGCTGCGGCTCATTATGTGATCATGTTAATATGAGGAAAGACATTTTGACATTGATGTATGAACGTACACACACTCATACTTTCCATACCAGTATCTAGGAGGAGGCTCAATTAGACCCCCTCACTCTCTGTCAGATCAGCAACATTAGTGACACAGTGCCGGTGTTTAGTGTTGTTATAAAGCTAATTGCATAGAGCTTAATTGATGCTGTTAATTCAGGGAAATTAGCACTGATAACATGCTGCATGCAGCAGGCTTCTTAATGTCTTGACTGACAGGCAAAAGAGTACACATCCTCTCCATCTCTGTCTCTTTTCTCTCATACAAGGCTAAGTCATTTGCTTGCTCTTCTCTGCTCACTCTTTCTCTCTCACTGCGTTTGGTACATGAAAATGAACATCCTATTTTTGTACATTTTCACTTTTTTTTTTTTTTGCAACACACTTTGGTTCCTTGCACTCCAACTGTCCTTTGCCCTGCAGTAACCCTGCTTCTCTCTTTGCCCCTCTATGTCACCTGTTTCTTGTTCTCTCTTTTTTCCTCTCTCTTTCAACCTCCCCTCCCTCTTACTTTCCTGTTTGCTTTTTCATTTTATGCGATGCCACAGGGTCCTCCTGGTCCCCAGGGCTCTCCTCACCCTCAGCCTCCTCCCCCTAACAGTATGATGGGGCCTCATAGTCAGGTAATGCTCCCTCCCTCTCTTTCTCTGTTTTTGACTCTCTCTTTGTCTTTCTCTGTTTTGCTATCTGCGGTCATTTGGGAATGCTGGTTCTTATTGCTGATGCTTCATGCTTTGGTATTCGTCCCAGCTTAATGCTTTATGCTGCTGTCAGTAGTCACAAACATGCTAATGAGACATTAGAACAATACAATATTTGGAGAGATGTACATCACTTCTTTATTTCTTACTTATGGAGCAATTGTATTTGTGTTGTAGTCCTTCATGTCGCCTCGCTTTGCGGGAGGCCCAAGAGGTCCACCTATCAGGATGGCTAGTCAGGTAGAGTGTAAACACATACACAGCATGGATGCAAAATACATAGCATGTATGTAAAACTTCACTTTCATTGGCCCTTTTTGTTTTAGCCTCCAGGAGGAGTACCAGGTCCTCATCCCATGCTGCCCAGCATGGACCCCACACGACCACAAGGTGTGTGCTGTATACCCTTTAACTACCTACTACATCTACATCAGATGTTATTTCCTGCCTTCTCTCTTCATATAAACTGCCTGTTTCCTGTTATCCCTCTAGGCCACCCTAATCTAGGGCCAATGCAGAGAATGAGCGGCCCTCGAGGTATGGGACCTATGGGGCCTGGCCCTCAGGTAGGCTGCTCCTTCACTTAGTACATATGAGCACTGCATTTATGAGCGAGCTGTGCTCGGCCTTATTTATAAAAGGTTTCTTCCATTACTGTATCATGTGGTTTAAATCCTCCCAGATGATTTATGATTTTTGGTTGCCTTTTCAGAACTTTGGTGGTGGGATGAGGCCTCCACACAATACCATGGGTCCTGGTATGCCAGGAGTGAACATGTGAGCCTGTTTTGCATTTGTAATTTATATTCTCTTACAAGTATTTCAACCAAAATGCAACACTGAACTACAGCTTCTATTGCATTTACCATCTAGGGGCCCAGGGACCGGCCGACCATGGCCCAATCCCAACAATGCCAATTCTGTGAGTAATAATGTACACACACACATATACCCAGAGAAATGCTGGTTCAGATTGCAGACAGATTTCCTCTCAGAGCGGAGGAGGTCTAAATGTTCCACCAAGGTTCTAGTCTAGGATGTAATTGTAGTATTATGTGTCACGGTTTCCACCGACTGTTGGACAGACAGCCATAATGGTGTTAGGATGATCAAATGATGGACTGATGACATTTTGAGGTATAGACAATGGCTTTCGCTCCCATTTCTGGTCTGTAATGTTTGTTTTTGGTTTCAGATGCCTTACTCATCACCCTCTCCTGGTGCATATGGGGTGAGAACATGTCCTGATGTCTCAACTCATACATACTACAGACACTATAGTATAGGAAATAACATCTTCATTTGTTTTTATGTGTGCATTTGTGACATATCTTTATTTTGTGACTGCTTCTCCAAAGGGGGCTTCTGGAGGAGGAGGACCCCCAGGAACTCCCATCATGCCCAGCCCTGCAGGTTAGTGCTTCCCTGACCTGTGCTGTTAATCACCACCTTCTCCATGCATTATCCAGTACCAATTCTATGTATGATTGCATCTTTTCCAGACTCAAACAACTCTGGTGACAATTTGTACACCATGATCAACACTGGACCCGGAAACCGAAATAATGCAAGTTCCTTGTTTGTGACTTTATTGTGAAATAAGCATGGATGTTGTGATCACTGAGTTAAGCAGAGGCACTGTTAGTACAGTTAGCATAAATTTAAAGACAGCTCTTTCTACAAAGTTATTTTTATTGTTCACTAACTACCTGACTACATACTGTATATTCTTTTTTGCGCCAAGCCCACAACTCAATTTCAGTATTGTCCTGTATCAAGAAACCTGTTTCAGCAGAAACATCAGAGTCAGACTCGGGGGGGACACTTTTAAAGTGGCTGACAAATAATATAATGACTGAGGCATATACTATAGTGAGTTGTAAGTTGAACTGGTCATTAAGAAAGGCTTTCACCTTTAGCAAACACCACAATTGTATTGTATCATTCTCAGTTGGATACACTGCAGGATGAATGCTCTGGTAGCTTTCACAGATCAGCACACACACAAATGCACTTGTTACACTGGTTTTGTTTGTCTGTTAGTTATTCAATACCGTAGTCTGCTTTTGCAGTCAGGCCTCTTGAAGCTGAAATGAGCAGAACCATGCTTTTTCAACTGGCAGAAGGACTTAAATGCATGGTTCTTCTGGTCACTTGTTATTCAGGACTTTCCAGTTGCACATGAGTTGTAATAAGTGAGTCCATGCCATCTTGTTTCTCCACCAGTTCCCTATGGGCCCGGGCTCTGACGGACCCCTGGGAGCCATGGCTGGGATGGAACCACACCACATGAATGGGTCTCTAGGTAACACCACTACAAAACATGTAATAAGACGACAGAGAAATGTTTGTGTTGCATTCTTATGCATTCATTGATTTCAGAGGATACTTTTGTCTACTGTGTCACATGATACTTCAGTAGAGGGCAACAGATAAAAAAAATAAATAAAAATACATACAAACATTTTTTCATTGTTTTTCCTATTGCTTCATTCTTAGGCTCGGGTGATATGGATGGAATGAACAAGGTAAATATTATCATGCAAAGAAATCTATGCATTTTAGGGTAAATGTTAAACGTTCAAAAAAAAAAAAACATTGCACACTCTTTGTTTCCAGAATTCCCCAAACAATTTAAGTGGCATTAGCAATCCTCCTGGGACCCCGAGGGATGATGGGGAGCTGAGTGGAAACTTCCTCCACTCCTTTCAGAGTGAGAACGTAAGTCTCCTTTCTTGCCATTTCCTCTCCTCAGCTAACATCATACTGTTGGTGACTGTAATGCTACTTTGATGAAGCCAGTGGCAGAGTGCTGTTTGACTGCACAGTGAAGCCCCAGACACGGCGTATTAGCATCACTGACTACAGTAGCCCTGTGGAGAGCAAGCTGGGCATTTGACCAAGGGTAACTCGGTGGGGAAAAGGTATGTGTGCATGTTTTAATCTTCCCTTCTCTGTGCCTCCACAGTACTCGCCAACCATGACGATGAGTGTGTGACCCCCCACTCCCCCACCCCACCCGACATTATTTGCCATCATTCTGAGGATCTGAACTCACTACAGAACACGGCCAAACACATCAGCACCGAATCAGGGACAGGCGCCATTTTGGTTCCACACTAACGCCAGAGTGCTGGTCTGAGAAAAATCAAAATGGCCGGCGACTACTGCTCCTTGCTCAAAATGAAGGACAATTTCTCCATTTATCACAGCCCCAAGTGTGACAAAACCAGCTACTGAAATGCATTCATGACATGTTTTCTGTTCTTCACAGAGCTCCTGTATCCTCAACCCCCTCAGTTCTAGTGCGAAGAGAGGAAAAAAAAGGTTTACCTCTTGTACTTTTTAATTATTGCTTTGTGGTGCAAGATGTGCAGGAAGTGTCTCCACTTTTGTCACTTAAAACACTGGAGAGTGCATATGCATTGTGAGCTTGGTAAGCCTTTGTCTTGTCATTTTACATAGCGCCATGCATACTGTGTCACAAAAGTCAGTTGACATGGGACTCGCAATCTGCCTTTTACTCTATGGCCACCTTTATAAATAACGTACTATTCTTCCCAATGCTCACTCTTTGATTTAAAGAGGTTTTAAAAGGGAGAAGCTGTGAAAGAATACAGCTTTTATTGTGATGACCTTTCACGGTATGTGAGTGCTCAGATGGTTCTTAAAATGTCAGATTGATCCCATTTGATCAATTGCAGTCTTTTATTGTTGATGGACGTGCTACTCTGCACTCTGTGCTGTTCCGTCCTGTCAAGGATAAAGCAGACTTTGACATTAGAAGTGAGTGCATGAATGCTGAGAATCTGTGTACAACATACTACCTAGTGCTGCTCTTCTCTATGTGGACACCTGCTTTAAGATGTGGTGTATATCTCTTATCTGCCTGTGCTTAACACTCTGTGCTCTCCATCGTCGTAGCCTTCTGTGTTGTTTCCAGATTAGCTGATGATGATGAAATGGCTATGAATGAGCTGCCCATTTTAATTGCTCAAACGTTCACTCTGTTGGTCATACTTCCCTCCTGTCAATGGTCATCCCTCTTGACCTAGCACCCCTCCATCCTTCTTTCCCTTGGCGCCCCACACTTTTTTTTTTTTATATTTTGATACAATCTTTGACTACATATATTGCCCCAGTTATTCCGATTTAGTCAAAGCTTTCTAAAATGATTCTAGTAGGCATCATTATAAACTTAGCAGCAGTCTTGTAAATGTGATGAGAATGTTTTTTTTTTTCTGTGAACTACGCATTATACACATCTGCCCTATGTTGCCTTTATTTGCTGATATTTTTTTATTTCAAATTGAGGAAAGATTGCTTGTTAATATAATTTTACAATAACTTATCCAAATGTGTGGATTGTTTTATTTTATTCATGTTTTGCTGATTCATACATAACTTTTTAGAGTAATGAAGGTTTGTTACTGATTCTGTAGATACAAGACTTCTGATTGAAGTTAACATATGATACAAATCACACAGTGAATACATGAAGACAAAATGCCACACAGTGCTGTTTTGTGTTGTAGAAGATGAGCTTATGGTAGACGGCAACAGCTAACATTAGATTGACATCTCTCCTTTGGCTGTTACCGCTCCTTCCTTTAGTCTCAGCAGATCACTCTCCACTTAGTAATCCCTGCAGGGGAGCCAGGGGGTGCTGTACTCTACAGCTGCCAGACCTGGGAGAGGAAATCCTGGGAAGCATGCGAGAGCCTTTGTGGCAGAGGAAACCTCTGCAGGTTGGCCAGATATGAAAAGGGACAAGGGACACAGTGGTTCGCAACCTGGGGGCTACAGTATGCCCATCATACTACTCTAATGTACTGTTCCTGATAGTCGAACAGTCTGCCAACTACAAATCTCCCTGTAAGTGTGCACTCCTCTTATTAGGTTAGAGCACACTTACCTGGTCAACAATGTCAGTGTGCAGCTAGTGTGTGTGATGAGTCACCCCTCTACCACCCAGCCATTGCTGAATGGCTGTCAGTAATCACGTAGTCCACTGAAACAAAGTCTCATAATGTGACAATGAAGCCTACAGAGGGTCTTTAGGTTATTTCTAAAGCTGCGTTTTGGCCAGTCAAAATCATTTTGCTTAAACCCTTTTGAACTCCATGACTGTTCATGTGGTCAGTGAAACCTTTCAGAGCTGATTTTCATCGCTGTCAATGCTGGTGTGTGACAAGTAAATTGTCTTTGTGTTCCTTTTCCCCCCTTTTGTCATTGCTTGTGACTAGATTCCTGAGCCTAACAGCACAACGAGCCTAAAGGGTTATAAATGGGCAGTAATTACCCCAACACTTGGCCTCTGTAAGCTCTGTCATGAAAAGCTTCTTTGCACTATGAAAGGACCAGTTCCCTTAGATAATGAATCCTATTGTCTTTATAGAAAAGTTGGTCAGGTGAGGATAACAGTTTCAATAGGGTGCAGTCAATGCATTAGAAACGGGTCAAAATAAGAAACTAATGAAGATCATTACAGTAGAGGAAGTTATTTTTGTTTTATAATCCAGCTGATTTAATTGTGCACATTCAGCCAGAGGGGTCACTCCAGATTCTAGGAGTCAAAATGACAGGCAATCCAACATTTTCCATCTCTGTCACACCCCTTTTGGAGAAAAACTTGCCTCACACTGCCCTCTGCTGGGCTTCAGTTTCCTGCTCTGGCCAAGAGACACAATTTGCACTCCCCAACATGTTTGTGACTCAACTTGCTGTAGATCCAGGCTTTGGTTTTTCTATAAGATTTCAGATGAATCTTAGCAAAAGCATGGTTGTGAGGATCTGACAGTGTTCTGGTTCCTGTCATAACAATAGGAAATGAAGCTGAGCTGCTGCTGCTGCTGCTGCTGGCTGCGCTCCACAGGATGTGGCCTGGCTGGGCAAGAGCCAAACCTCTCCAACTTCACAGCCACATAGTTAATGTTGTGAAAGTTCTAGGAACACAAAACTGCTTTGTTCATTACCCTATCTAGTACACAGTTACAATCCTTTAGTTACAGTATCTTATTTGGTTTGTGTTACAGGATGCTCTTGGGCTTTTTAAATATTGACTTTTTTTCCCAGCAGTGTTTAATCTTTTTTTACACAAATCTACAAAGTCAAGACCTATTATCACCAATTCTGCCCTTTTATTGCTTGGATTCATGAAAAATATTACAGCAGATCACATTAAAATGCACCCAAATACATGAGTATGCTATTCATTTAGTGCTATTGTGCAAAAGAAGCAACAAACATGAAATGAAAGTTAAACTGATTTTAAGAAAACTAAGAGATGAAGTCTATTTCTACCTTAAGGGAAATAACATCTAACATTTGCATCAGCAGTATTTTTCATTATGAAAATGGCCATGAACCATTTTGTGCAAATTCACATAAAGACCCTGAAAAGCCACCCCCTCAAAAAAAAAAAAAAACTCAACTGGTTAAACTGTTACATAACAGCATGTAAGAATTAACACAACAGATCAGTTTTCTAGTGATAGTGGCATTTTCTCGCAATGTCTTATGCAATCTGAGACTAAATCAATTCATGTGCAAAGATAAGAAGGTTAAGTATTAACTTGAATGGGGGCATGAATGACACACTCCACAACTCACATGAATGAATGTGTGCGCCGTGGATTCGTTGAACTTGCATAACTGACATACAGCACAGTATGTTTACAATCACGTCCAGACAAGACAGCAAACACCACCCAGATTCTCATGTGGTGGAAAACCAGTGTGTGTCAACATTAAAACCCTTCAGCCATTTTCTTTGAAGAAACATGATGTAAAAATGGAGACTGCTCGAGCTTTGTACACAATATTATTTAGTCTTATTAGGTGTAATTTAGAGTGAGAGCAATATCTTGGATAATTTACGATGTTATTTAGCTTTAGTTTAATGTGTAAAATCCATCCAACTATACTGTCTTGTAGTGGAAGGACTATGGAAAACCATTTAGGAACTAGTGCCATGATAAAACACACTTTGTCATACTCTAAAATATATACTGAGAACTTGATCCAGGGGTCTTCCCAGGTTATTTTTACTACACTATAATACAGACATCTCTTGATGAAACAGCAATGAAAAGCAAATTCATTTGTTTTACAGAATGCTTATTAGAGATTAGATACATCAAATCATAAATGCTCCGACTTAATCTTGAGAAGGGCTACTTTTAGGTCATCTTTCATCAAATTACAGTTGCCAGAGGTTTTCACTGTAATCGTCATAAAGCAAAGTAGCTTCTTGTGGTATTACCTTGAAGCATTTAGAGTGTTGAACCTTATTTAAAGCAAAGCAAAGCACACAACATCTCCTGTACATTCAACCACCTCAACCATAAACTCTGAGGGGACCATCTCTGTTTCGCGTCATCTGGCTACAGAGGCCAACGGTTTCATCTGTAGCCGTCACTAGGAAACAGTGAGAGGTGAATTCAAGCTCAGATATTGACAGCTGAGATCAGTTTTTAGTGTACAGGAGAGCCTGGAGGCAATATTATGTCAAGTGGTGTATTGATTGGTGTCTGATTAAAAACATAGTATTATTGTGTTGGTTAAAATGTCAAGACCTACTGAACACACAGATCCCCCTCCATATAAAATTGGTCAGATGACAAATGATTTTGATCTTAATTCATCTTCTCCAGGAATGAACGCACCTCCAGTGGACTGTAGCCACAAGGCCCCACGCCCCCCTAGGGAACACAGAGCCAGGAATGTAAATGAAACACAATGAATAACATTTGCACTTAGATACCACTTTGGTTAGACTTATAAAGAACATCAGAATACATGTGTTTGCCATATAACAGCATGCAATTGTATATTTCTGGCTTGGCTAACGTCAACCTATCTCAATGCCAAGAATTCCAGTTTTGTGTCTGTTCCTTATTCTGCTCCTCCCCACACAACAGCACAATGCTGGTATTACTTCTAGTCACGCAATTGCATGAGAAGAACAAAGTGTGTGAACCTAAAGAAATTATGCCTTTCATTTTTTACCTGGAACTCCTCCATCAGGATCACATAAATTAAAAGTGCGGTATGTCAGGGTGTACAGATCTCACCTTGTACACGACTTTCCCAGCCTGCAGCACATAAAGCCTTTCAGGTAGAGCACCATACTTTATGGCAGTGACATCATTTATTTCATCCACAACCACCGGACACAGGGGCTCCTTCTGAACCAGGATCCGTGCTGCGGACAGCCTGTCCTCCAGGCTACGGTGGTGCTTGATGTCATAGTTGTTGTTAAAGGCCCAACCATCTGAGACGGAAGCACAGAATGTGATTTCACTAGAATGACACTGAGTGCAGCAAAACAGGGGAGCATATAAATCTGTTACTGTTTTATGGTTGTTGCACCAAGTCAAAGCTGAACGACAAGACTCAAAAAGCAGACCATTTTTGTACAATATAAGTCAAAAGAAGACTTCTTTTACAGTTTAACACATCACATCAAGCAATGTAATGATGTTAAAGTCCACATTTTTTACAGCTACATTTAAACTTCTCCAATGCAGGAGTTTCTTTAATAAACATGTAAGGTGATGGAGACCATTCATAAGTACAGATGGGGGAAAGGATATGTATGCATCTATTTAAAACTTTCAACAGTGTATTTTGGTCTAATGCACACTTTTAAGAAGCCTTTTTCAGAAATGCCACAGTGAATAAAGTTAGTCCGTTTTCTTTTTTGATTTGCCTTTCAGATTTCATAGTTTGGAAGCCTAGTTTCTCCTCCACCAATTAATCAGTTTGATGATGATCGTGATTTCACCTGGCAATCTGGCGACTTCCTCTCACCTGTTGAATGTGCCTCGGCGATGTAAACCACAAGAAAGTCCGCCACATCGCTGAAGTCCTTGACGAGTTGTTTGAACTCCTCAAGTCTATACATAAACGGGGGTCAGGTGCAGCTTCCAAAACTCAACACCAGCGGCCTGTTGTCTGCATAAAGAAAATACAGCTCACGTTTTAAGATCAGGAAAACAACTGGGCTAAGGTGACTAAACCAAGGCTATGGATCTTCTTAACGTACCTCTCAAGTACTGGAAGATACTCGTTTTCTTTCCGTCCATGGTGACCACAGGTGAGTCCGGAGCTTCTTTTTCCAGAAAAGCCTCTTGTCCGAGAGACAGCCACATGTGCCAGGAGGCGGCTTTGACGAAATTAAAGGAGTTAAACGTCGGACCCCAATCTTCATACTTAAATTTGGGATTCTGGGTCATAGTTGTCTTTTCATTCATTCTGATGATGTGCTTCTTGGTGAGGCTTGGTGAAATGAAATGCATAATCCTGACCGTGAGATTGAGTGCTATAACGTAGAAGACATTGCATACTGTCGACAAACAGAGCATAAGTTTTTGCAAAAACATGCTTGCTCCGCGATGATCACGTCCCGTTTTGACACCTAACACAGAGTCACTGTCATTTGATTGATAAATATGTCGGTTACCGCCCACTCTGCCCAGGTTTGATAACAGCTGCCTTCACGCCCTTAGACCGAGCTCGGATTTTCTAAACATTTGTACATCACAAGTAGCAAATGTGGTCGGGCAGTGCGTTCCGTTTAATTTACAATGCCTTCTCGGTTCTTTCCTACGCTTTGTATTTCATTGTGATCCGTACATTGATAATTTCACCTTATCAAACGTACCAAGTGTCCTTACCAAGCAATATAGTTCATCTACCAAAAGATTTAAGTACTTTCTCTCACTCTGTCTGCACATGACATATTTCCAACGATACATAAGGCATCATCGCACCCAGTTATTCATCAGTTCCGCATTTCTACAGCCGAGTTCCATCTCCAGTTTTACTGAGAACCAAACCATTCACACCTCACTGCTCATTTTCCACTACATTTATAAACGTTCGCTCAGCAGTTTGTTCCACTCGTCATGTATGGACAATAATAACTAGGTGTGTTGATGGTGCCCACTGTGACCCTTTTAGGATTGTCCCTGCCACGTAGTCACCACTAGGTGGAGCTGCAGAACAGGGTTTCATAAATTAAAAAACAATGCTGTGCTTGTGGAATGAAGGCGCTCAACAAAGGCTCCACATCGCAGAAAAGAGCAACTACACACCAGATCGTGACTATTGGAGATTTTTTTGTTTTGTTTTGTTTTGAGAAATGCTTTTTCCTAAGAAAGTCCAAGTTTCATTTTAACTCTAGTCTTAAGATTTATGTAAGGATTTTGATCATTTGACAACAGGTTCATCCTTTTATCCTGACTTTTAGTCAGTAATGAATCGATTAAGTACCCACGTCTTATTTTTTATCGATGTCATTCTCCTACACATTAGGCTACAAGGCTAAGCCACATGGTGAAATCTGATAAATTATGACTTATGGAGCTGGACATATTAGCCTTAATTAGACTCTTCGCACTTTCCCTCTAAATCTATGCAGCATAAACATTGTATGATACTGTTGCTGTATACACCGTTATAATAGTCTCGATCATATCACTGCAAGTTAATAATAATAATAATATTATAATAACCACCTTTATTTGGCCAACTATGTTACACACAAGGAATTTGTTTCCGGTACAGAACCGAAGCAGCCAACTGAACCGATGGCTCTAACCATCAGGGGGCAACCTGGGGGTTCAGTGTCTTGCCCACGGACACATGGACTGCAGGCACCGAGATTCGAACCTCCGACCCTCCAGTTGGGAGACGACTGCTCTACCCACTGAATCATAGTCGCCACCAAGTTTGGAAACACGGTGCAGTTGTAGCCTAATCAGTGTGATTAAGGTATCGATCACCGTTCTTCAGTTACCTTTATGCAACTTTTTAATGACTGCAGCCTTCAACACATAACCCGACACCTAGTGCATTATGCTTGGTCGCGTGCAGGATATGCATCAGCAGTGTCTCGTGAATTGCTACAACACCATCGCCTTGATCCAAATCTTAACCTACCATAGATACACTGATATAGTCGTCACTGGTGCTCTCGAATCCCGCAGAGCACTGGAGCTATCGGGTGTCAGGGGCGGGGGGGTAATGCAATGCATGGGATGCTGATGACGCTGATGACTGATTCTCACTGCGAAGATGCAATCTAACAGACCTGCAAACGTTTCCGCTGACAGTGTGGTAAACATGCTGATGTGCATAATTAGACGTTTTCGGCTCTTTGTAGGCTAATTGGACAAGGTGGGTGTTGCGAAATCAACTACATTTAATCGCCTCGTCCACTGTGCTGATTCTTCTTGTTCAGATGAATTGATGCATGTTTGCACAATTTGACGCAGACTCTGATGAGAGACAGACCCGATGTCTCTGCGGAATTTGTGAGGGTTACCGTGATTTTAGTTAGGTTTTCTTTAAAACTCTTTGTCATGTGTACAGGTAATGAGCAGCGACCTCACCACTGCATGGGAAAGCCGAGTCATCAATGCAGAACTCCTCAGCGCTGTTCGGGATGGTTAGCCACTGTCAGATCCCAACTATCACGGACTTCACCGGTATGACACGCTCCGTGTACGGCAGCAAGGCGGACATCTGTGCACGGCGAGCCGGGAACGGTAGTTTTGGATCTCAGATTTGCCGGAGCCCCAATGACTTTCACATGAACTGCTCCAGCCCGAAGCGACTCAGCGCGCCCGAGGACAAAACGCATCTTCCAACCAAAACTCCGCGCTCATGCTTCTCTCTCTCACCAGTTCAAGGTAAGGCCCCTGTTAACTGGTGCTGCAGAGGTGGGTGAAGATTAGAAAGTTGATTCGCAGAATGACTAAATTCTGGACATATTGAAATTTTCTTCCCTTCATTAAAACAGACTTTGAGAACAACAGTAGAGAATTCAGCCAAACAGAATATGTTTGATCAGTAAAGTTCTAGGTTCTCTGAAAAGCTACCATCTAAAATAGTGCAGTCTTCTTCACATGGCTTCTCTAGAGCAATCTTTGGTGCAGCTATACCGTGTATTTGTGCTGCAAGTCTTGCTTGTAGTTTGTGAATTATGTCTGTTAATTAAATCCAGAGCACACTTGGATCCTTGGCCAATTTATAAATAACACCACAATCACACAAAGGCCATCTGAGGCGCGTGGAATAACTGCCAAGCAAGTGTGCATTTACTATGGATGCTAACAAGGCATGGCAGCATTTACTTCATGGTAGGGTTAGTGTGATGTTGACTTTAAACGTCTGACTGTCAATATTTTAATGAGTGGATACATTTAGCTTTTAATTTGTGAGAAAAATAGAAATATTAAAGTTATTAACTCTGTATACTCCGGCTTGAAATAATCTTTAGTGCCTTTAAGTAAATGAAATATTTGACATGGGCTCATCAGTAAAAGTGAAAATGTAACAATTCCATAAATGAAATGAATGGAAAGTGAACTGCGCGTGTCTGGAAGCCTGCTCCATCCTGTTTAGACAGCATTGTTGTGAAAGGGCGGAGGTAATTACAGCCTCATCCTAAATTATGATTATGTGGAACATACTTTTATATTAGCAGTCATCCTTGCAGCTAGAAGAGGATCAACGGATTTAATTGTTGTTTCTTCTCGCTAAACACAAACCATATGTCTGCTGAATGTGTCTCAGCATTTATGAGTTCTCTCGCCGCACAGTGCCCTCAGCCCTCCATCCTGGTCAGAATGAATCGTCTCATTGTCTCTGCAGCGCTTTTGAACTCGTACTTCCTGTAAATTGTGGGAATGCAAGATGTGTTTGTGTATTATGTTGTGCAGATTATCGTTGAAGCAGACCCATATATATGTTTGTTGCCTTGTGACTATAATATTTAATTATTTCAATATCTTGTGGCTTTATGAAGTAAAATAGATTTTTGCTCTTTACACAGAGAAAAACATAACCACACATCTATTTTACTATAAGAGCAGTCAGCCACACATCAAAACAAGTTTCATTAGTTGGAAGTAATTCATTTCACATTAGATTTTACAGTCATATTTCAGAAATTAAAAGTTTAACTCAATTTCAGTTGTACTCCAAATGTTCTCTCCGATTTGAATGCGCGGTGTATTCCAGGCTCTGTTTTATTTTATGGTCTCTTCTGGTGAGCATGGAGTATGAGAGTGATCTCAGTACTCATCAGTCTTTTGTATCATGCCTCATTTCAGGCTGATCATATTACATACTCCCATTTGGGGACAGAGCTGGAGTTTAAACGGCATTCTCAGCCATTACTTTAGATTTATACTGAAAGGAATCTCTGAACAAGCACAGACTGCACCATTTATCCTGATGGAAGTGAGACAGTGTAGGAAGAACTCACCTCAGATGGGAGAGTTCTGACCTCTAAAATGTACGCTGTGATTGCAAAATGTGACCGACTACTCAGTGATAAACGTGATTAAAATATAGTGATGTTTTGTCAGATCCTCAGCTCAAAGTGTTTTATGGGAGGGAAGCTGTACTATGGAAAATTTGCATTTAGTACTTCTTTGCTGCTTTTGTAATTACTCCAAAAATGAACATTGTTTGTTAATGTTTGCCTGTGTGTTTACAGTTGTATAAATAATAAATAGATGAGATATTTAGCGCAGTAAGTGACACTGTTAGCATACTAATACGCAAGTTACAAAGTGTAATGGTTGAATTTCCTTCATCTTTTATGCAAAACACAGTAAAAATTTGGATTCAACTTTTATGGGTCAGGTATTGTAAATGTAAAAGTAACTCGTAGCATTCATTTACTAAAAACTCTTGTGTGCATGCAGTGTCCTTGTTGGAGTGCCATTGCATTTTAAAGAACATTCAGTTCAAGAAAAATTGTTCTGTAGATTTATTTGCACCAAGTTGAATGAAGCAGGGATCCCACCTGGTACATATTGCTCTCAATGAGCTGCCGCTGTTCATTCTAACACCACAGATCCGCTGTACAATAGTGCCCACCAGCAATGAAAGTATTTAGCTTGCAAAGGAAAAACACTTGACCCCTTTTGAAAAAGAATATTGGTTTGATTGAGGCGTGTGTCCCAGCATCATTCGATACCTTACTAAAGGTCCCCTGGCCAGGATGATGCAGAGGGTTGTCACTGATTCAGCCTGTGGTCACAAGAGTAAAAGAATTTTGCATTTGAGTATTGTCTACTGCTTGTTACCAAGGGTTTCTGGCCAACACACATTGTGTGGCATCTTTATCTATGTCCCTATATACAGTCTATATACATGCTGAATAAACACCTTTATGCAGACACACAAACACCACTGCATCCATTGCAGATGTATATGCTCAGCACCTACACTAAGTACACACTACACATTGACACACTGGCACACATATGTACACATGCTTTTTTTGTGCAAAGTGGCATTGGCACAAATGTTGAATTCCCTCAGACTGACTTAGTTTCCTGTGTTTTCCCCAGAAGCATTTGTAGATGTCAGACTGTGGGGCGGTAATCTGACTGCTATGAGAAACAGCTGATCATTACGGCCCACTTTGAGCCTCTGCTGTGTGAAACGCTAAATGACAACTTTCCAGTAAGTGCTTTTGGTAAAGTCAGTTATTTTATTCAAAGTATATAGTTAAAGTGGGTAGTTGGTATTCTTTTTGTATGTAGGAAAAAGCTGCATAGTGTGTTGATGTCTTCGTTACTTTGAAAACATATCAATCTTGTCTCTTTGTAGAATTCTGAAAATAGAAGAATAACTGATATGCTAAATGTTTTACAGTAAGGAAAAATACAGCTTAACCAACAAAGGAACTGATGCTCACTTTTAAAATGTTAGTGCAATCCAGTGCCTTTTTAAGCAGATTCGTGTTGCGTAGAAATGTTTTTACAGCTATAATTCTGTGACAGTTTGCTTCAACTGTTTCAGTGGGTTTTGAATTTCTGAAATTTGGTGACCTTGAGGGTTATATTGGCTTTACATTTGGCTTTGATGTATGCACATTATTTATTCAATTTGGATGTCAGTAATTAGCATAAATCTTAACATAAATATGAGAAAACGGAAGGAGGACGTGAGAGAAAGACACTGAAGAAACAACAATTCAGCCACAATGAATAGGTTTTAGGTTGTTTTTGGAAGTGACTTAGTTTCTGTGCTCAAGATGTTTGTTCTACAGAAAGAGGGCAGCATAAGTAAGCATACCCTTAAGTGCAAGAGTGAAGTGTGTTTCATAACCTTTTACACTGTATATGCAACTGAGATATTAAATTGTGTTGAAGTTGTTATTGTATCTATTGCTATGTTGCACATTACATCTTTAAATATTTACTCAACTTAAAATTCCATGTATCTATAGTGCACACATTACGGTGTTGTACTGTTTCTTGTTTTATATTGTGGAAGTATACATAGATATATACGTTTGTGTGTGCGCACACGTGCCTGGTGCTACTCATGCGGTGGGGATCAAAACCTGTTTACACACTCACATTATGGGAACTGAGCCCTCATTGTGGGAACCAAACATCAGTCCTCACCGCGTAGATTGAATTTTAAAGTGATTACTTGGTTTAAGGTTAGATAAACAGTGCTTATAGTCAAGATCAGGGTAGGTCTCCAGGAAATCAGTGTAAGTCAATGTAAAGTCAGCAGAAAAATGAAAATGTGTGTCTGTCTGTGTGTGTGTGTGTGTGTCTGAGAGAGAATAGAACAAAAATCTTAATACTCAAACCAAATCTTTTCTTTATTCAAAATTTGAAAATTTTATGTCTGGTAGCCAAATTTTCAGACATACAACTATTGGCTGTGTGTGTGTGTGTGTGTGTGTTTTAATTACCAACAGGAGATGGGATATATCTCAATTCCCTTAACTGCATCTATGTTTTCCTCACTTGCATTTTTTCCTTGTGTCCTAGTCCCACCCACACAATATGTGAGAAAAAAATGCAAGGAGAGAAAAATCAAGGAAATGTGTTCAGAGGCATGAGACTCCTTTCCTCTGATCCTTCATCTGAAGCATCCCATTACCAACTGATTCCCAATAAAGATGTGAGTTGGTCCATAATAGACCTGGGCAAGAGGTCTATTGTATCCTCATTCAAGGCTCCTCCTGCAGCCTCCTCACTCCTTGATCCTCAAGGCAGGAATAAAAACTTTGGAACACCCTTCCGCTTCCGGGTTGACCAAGGAGCAAGCAATGATCAGTTAAGGAAATTAGGATGCACATGGAATCTCTACAACCTCTGTGGATCACTTTCTGTTGAAAATATTTATTAAGTGAGGTTGAAGTTGAGAGAGTAACTGAGGATCTCAACATCACTATTGGTCAACATGCCAAAGGTTGTAGCAGCAAAGCCAGGTTAGAACAGCTGTCCCTCCCAGATGTTGTGAAAGACTGATCAACCCTCAGAGGAAACATTTTACTTTTACTGCTGCTAAAAGAGGTTTGACCTTTTATTGAACTTGCAGTTCACTTAGTTTTACTGCCCTGCTTGATTGAGAACATTTCTTTTTATTTTATAGTGAAACAGTTTCTGGTGTTGCTGGCAGTTTGCACCCAGCTGTACCTTACATGGAATGTGTCAATAGGAGTCTGCTAAACAAGAGCCAGACATCCTTTTTTTGCATTTGTGCCTCTAAATTAGAACTATAACATGAAGGATGTTGTATAGTACAGTGGTAGTGGGATTCTTTTTACCAGGTTTCTCACCGGTCGGTACATTCCCATAGGCCAGTACAGCCCACGTCTTTTGAGTCTAGTATGAGCTCAGCAGTGAGTTATGGGCAAATGCAAGAG